TGTAGGCACTGTGCGGTCTCCCTTCACCTTTAAACTGGCCATGAGCTCTTGAGGTCAGTCCACTTCCACGTCCTGTCCTCTCTAAAGGACGCCTAGGGCTCATCTCTCGGGAAGGTGACACGCTTGCCTTCGATCTGGAAACCACGGCTTTTGCCCCCTCTATTTGGTTAGATGTGGGAATCGTCTCAGGGAGATTAGTGACAGTGGCTTCCTTGTGAATGAGAAGACACAAACTGTGTAATTTACCCTTAGGAATCCAACAGTGAAAAAAAGCGATCTTTTCATGGGAACTCCTTGACACATATTTACTGACGAGATCCAGGTGGTATTTCCGTGGTCAGCGGGAATGAAGCCTTTCTAAGAACCGGCTGGCAAGGGACGATGTGGGTCGTGTTGAAGAACGTTCGCATGCTGCCACGCATGGCCCTGCTTGCTGTGTGTGTGTGTATGGTGGGTGTTCTCAGAGAAGGCTGCTCGCCGGGTGACACCCTTAGGCAAGGCTGCGCTAGGGGCTCTGGGGCCTGGGCAGTCTGTTCTCAGCCCTTTGCTTCCCAGCTTCAGCTCCACAAGAGCTGTGCCTGGGAACATTCCAGGAGTCATAGGAAAGAGGCAGTGGCAGTGTCTAAGGAGCCACGTGTGTCAGGCAGACTTTCTGTAGTCAGTGTTGAGAAATTTTTTTTTAAAGATGAGTACTTTGCTATTATTTCAGAGGAATGCAGAGGCTCAAGCTTCATAATGAGAGATTTCTCAGTGGCAGCCTTGCTGGTCATGGTTGCCACACACTTTAGGGTTGATCACCAGGGAGGGGGTAGACTTCCATTTTAATTTTGAATCATTAAATAAAATGTAGTTTTAGCAACAATAACATTTCTAACAGACTGCTGAGTGATTCCTTGAAAAGTAAGCTGACATGGAAATGGACATCTTGGAAATTTTGTGTGGGCTGCCGGTTTGGCCAAGTCCAGTGAGCTGTCCAACTTAAAGGCACAAATTAAACAGAAACTTGCTGACCCTGGGATCAATGCAATGTTCCTTTATCATGAGTTTAAATCATTTAATTATATTGGTTAATTATTAATTACTTTAAAATGTTTTATTCCTTTTATCATGTTTATAAAATTACATTTTAAGGATAACAGAGCAAAGTGTTAATAAGTAGCTCATTTAGGTATAGGTGTGAGGATTTTTGTAGTACTTTAGCAGTTTTTCCATAAGTTTGAAATTCATAAAAGTGAAATTTACATAAACTGTATTGACAACTTGAAGAAAAAAACTAAATAAAAGAAAGTGTAAGCTAAATCCAAAGCAGAAGAAGAGACGTGAAGTCAAGAATGGGAACGCATAAAATGGAAACAGATATAAAAAGAGAGAAATCGGATGACAACCTGGCTTTGAAAAGATGAACAAACTTTTACCCACATATAGCAAGAGTAGATGAGGAAAAGAAGTCCTCCCATTACTAAAATACTCCCTGTAGCTATTTAAAAGACCATAAGGAATATTTTAAACAACAGTCTGCCAACAAATTAGGTGACCTGGATAAAAGGAACAAATTCCTAGGAATATACAAATTACAAAAACTGACTCAACAAGATCTAGATCTTAAGAAGATCTTCATAAACTTACACAGAGCAGAGAGATTAAATTAGTAATAAAAATTATTCACCAAAAAAGATCAAGTCCATATGGTTTCACTGGTGAATTTTACCAAGCATTTAAAAGGGAATCAATACCAATCCTCACAGAATCTTCCAAAATATAAAAGAGAAAAAATATTTCCTGTCTCATTTTATGAGAACAGTCTTATCCAAATACCAAAGCCAGATTTTTTAAATCATAAAGAAAGAAAACTAAAAATCAACATTCTTATCAACAGAGACAGAAAAAAAAACTTTAAAAAGAAATATTAGCAAACTAAATCCAGCAGTGTATAGAATTATACACCATGTCCATGTGGGCTTTATGCCAAGAATCTGAGGTGGGTTTGACTTCCTAAAAATCATAATAAAATTTTGCAATGTAACACACCATTTCTGTAGATGATGGGTATATAAAAAGCATTTGGCAAAGCTTAACACTGTCGTAATGAGGAAGACAGAAACAGAGAGATATATACAGAGAGAGAACACTAAACCAACTCACTATAGAATAGAATTCCTGAAAAAGCACATCTTTGAAAGCCCAGAGCAAGATCATGCTTAATAGTGAAATATTAAATGCTTTCCCCCTATAATGAGGAATAAGACAATGATATCAACCAGCATTACTTCCATTCAACATCGTACTGGAGGATCCAGCCAGACAACTAAGAAGAAAATGAAATACAAGCCACCATGTTCTTGCACATATCATATATTTATATAGAGAAAATGCTTTTAAAAATCTACTGAAAAACCTAATAGGACCAATAAAGGAGTAGAGTAAGATTGTAAAATACATGGTCAATACACAAAACTCAATCGTGTTTTATAGACTTAGAATGAACAATCTGAAAAATGAAATTAAGAAAACAGTTTACCAATAACATCAAAAACACAAATGCTTTGGAATAAATTTGACAGAAGAAATGCAAAATCCATACTCTGACAGAAATTTTAAAAAAGATCTAAATAAGTGGAAACACTTCCCATTTTCATGTGTTGGAAAATTTAATTTGCTAAAATACAGTCTTCTACATATGGATCTACAGAGTCAATACAAACCCTACCAAAACTCTCCTCATTTCTTCGCAGAAAGTAATGGACGAATCCTAAAATTCATAGAAATGTAATGTCTTAAAATGGACAAAGCAATCTTGAAAAGGAAAAATAGAGGTAGAAAATTCAGATTCCCACCTTTTGAAGCCTCGACTACAAAATCACAGTAATCATCACAGTGTGTTACCATCATAAGGGTCCTCCTGTACCACACAGTGGGCTAGGGTGGATACCCAGACATAAACCACGGCAGTTTGGCCATTGATTTTGATAAATCAAGAGCTTGTAATGTTCAAAGAGCTGTCTCCGCAGTGAAGGGTGCTAGAATGACTGGATGGCAGCTCCACACAAAAGAATGGAGCTGGAAGTTTCTCTGGTGTGAATAATCTGCAATAATACATAAGATCCTAATAAGATTACTGACATTTAGAAATGGGAAGAAAGGAGCTAAAGGTGATATGGGTAGGGGAAGGGCAATAAGGGAAAAGAAAAAAATGTGAGATAATGAAAAGATGGAAATAAAGTGTTTGTAGATGGGGAGAGGAGGAGGGGGTGAAGGGAGGGCAGGGGTAAGGGGAAAAAATGAGAACCAAGACCTGTCATGTAGAGGTACAAGACCCCAACAATGAATGTAACTGTACTGTATCCCTAAAATGTACCAATAAACTCAATTAAAGCTGAAAAAAAAAAAAAGAATGGAGCTGGAGCCCTTATCACACTCTATTTCATGTGTAGAGGTACAAGACCCCAACAATGAATGTAACTGTACTGTATCCCTAAAATGTACCAATAAACTCAATTAAAGCTGAAAAAAAAAAAAAGAATGGAGCTGGAGCCCTTATCACACTCTATACAAAAGTTAGTTAGAAATGGATCAAAGCCTAAAGACAAGACTGAGAGTATGAAACTCTTAGAAGAAAGCATAGGTGTATGTCTTCAGGACTTTGCATTCAGCAGTGGTCTCCTTGGTATGATTCCAAAAGCATAAGCAACCAAAAAGAAAATAGATAAATTAAACATTATCAAATTCAAAGCATTCGTGCTTGGAAGAAGACCACAGTGAAAGTGAATACACAAACAACTCGATAGGAGAAAACATATGCGAATAACATTTCTGATGGGAATTTGTGTCAAAGATACATAAAGAACCCTTGCAATTCAATAATTTAAAAAACATAAATGAATTTTAAGTAGAAGAACATCTCTGAATATACATTTCCACAAAGAAGACATGCGAAGGCCTAATAAGCACACAAAGAGATACTCAACATCCTCAGAGAAATTTAAATCAAGACCATGACACCATCTCACACCCATCAGGATGAGCTAGGAAAACCACACATACTAGTAAATGCTGAGTGCCTGGAAGAACCAAGACGAATACACTGCTGGAAGGAATGCAAAATTACGCAGTCACCTGTAGAACAGTCGCAGTTCCTCAGAAGGTTGAACGTAGATCTATCATATAACCCAGCAATCCTACTTCTAGGCTGTGCCCAAGAAATCTATCCATACAAAGTTTGTGCATGAGTCTTCATAGCAGTGCTGTTCCTAATAGTCTAAGAGAGGAGGCAAGACAAGGTCCCTCAAGAGATAAACAAGACACAGTACAGCCATACGAGGGAGTATTATCTAACAATAAAAAGGGAAAGGCATCCGTGCATGGTATAACATAAGCAATACTTGAAGACATTAATACATGAAAAATCCAGTCTGAAAAAAGGAAGGACCAGAATAGGGGCAAATCCATAGGGACAAAAAGTAAATTAATGGTTGCTTAAAGATAAGGAAGTTGTGGGGAAATGGGAAGTAGCTGCTCGTGAGTGAGGGGTCGATACACTTCGATGGATGGATTGTATGGTATATAAATCATATCTCAACAAAACTGTTATTTTTCATTGTAAAGAAAGATGGGGAGATGGAAAGAGAAAAGGTAACAGGAAAAAGAAACAGGAGAAGAGAAAAGACTCTTGACCGTAGATTTGGTAACAAAGAGGAATCCAAGCAGAGCCCCTGATGGAAACCCAAGGGGAAGAAACGTCATTCTGACCCTGGCAGGACTCAAACACAGCTGGCATGGCCTGGGGTCTGCATCTGCGGCCTCACCTTTACACCACTGCAGCAGAATTCTCAGAGAGCTCAGCTCCTTTCCATGGGCACGTGCATGTGGACCGCTCAGGTCTCTCTCTGCTCATCACCTTCCCTGACAACACCCCACCCCAAACTCCCAGCCTTGGCTTCCACCGCCCTCAGAGCTCATCTCTAGAGCACACCCAGGTCTCCGGAGCCCGAAGTCTGTCTCACCTGGAGTCCCGCGTGTCCGGGAGGCTGCGGTTGAGGGGCAGCTGGTCGCTGAGGTACACGTTGTAACCAAACCTGAGGAACAGGTCCTGGGCCTTCTTCTGCTCGTCCTCAGGAAGATCCTCTCCCCACCGCTGGAAGAGGGCAGAGCTTGGGAAGAGTTTCTTTTGGGGTGCAGGCTTCTTTGTCTCAACTGCCTTGCCTTGAGCTGCCTTTGGGGCAGGATGAACTTCATGGTTCATCTTCATTCGTGTGTCCTCCACTTTTGCTTGTTGCTTCCCAGCCAGTCTCATATTTTCTTCTGCAAAAGAAGAGGATGAGTGGAGGGAGAGGACGAAGAAAACATTTCAGCTAATCCTAAGGTATCTAAGCAGTGCTTTCCATCCTAATTTCCTTGAAATAGTTTTCTTGAAATATTTTGGGTGTTGAATTTAACACAGGCCATTGTGGCGGAGGAATTGCCATCTGCCCATGGTGCCACTGGGAGATGACAGAGCTCTTGGAGGTGGGGTCTCATGAGAGGAAGTTAGGTCGTGGTTGTGTCCTCGTCTCCATCCGTGGAGCTGTGCACTCGCCATGATATGCGGCCTCAACACAGGCCCAAAAACAATGGGATAAGCTCATCATGGATTGCAACTGCCAAAACTGTGAGCCAAACTTATCTTTTTTCTTAAGTGTTTGCCAAAGCAATGGAAAGGTGACTAAAGCATCTTCCATATTTTAAAATGGACAAGTTCTTGTCCCAGAGGATGTGATGTCAGAGGAACTTGTCAGAGCCTTGTAAAGTTGTCTTGGCAAAGCACACAGTACATACCTCTCTCCAGCTGCATCAAAATGTATCTACCACTCCCCTTTATGGCTCCTCTCAGAGCTGACTTTGATGTGATAAATTAATAATAAGATGATGTTTATCAAAATGAGACCTAAAAACCATTTTTATCAGAGTCATCAGTTGTGATTATTTAAAAATCTAGGCATCAAGGCTCATTTCCAAACCTTTTAAATTAGAATCTCAGGGTCAAGTGGGACCATGGGAAAAAGAAGTTACCAGAATCTGCAATTTTAGTGAACTCCAATAATGTTTTTGTGCAGTAAAATTTTGAGAAATACAGCACTACAGTAATCGTGGCCGACAAAGGCCAATCTCCTCTCACCTCACGCATGCATGCCAGTGCCTCTCGCATATTTAATTCATCAGAGCTTTCAACTTTTCAAAACTTCTGATTGCACCACATAAATCTAACAGTCACATGAGAAACACAGCCTTAATCCAAAAGCCTGAAGAGTGGTAGACCGAGACAGAGGGCTTTGGTGCAGAGGAGGCCTTCTTCTAGGACCCAAAATACCAATTGTAATGATGCCTACAAATTCCAAAGCTCTTCCAATCCATTATTTACTTCACCTTTACCAGAACCCTATAAGACTCACTGCAGAATCTTAGCCCATATACCAAAAACTCAAGATCCATCTATAAATTCAGCAAGTAGAGAGAGAGAGAAAACGCTCAGTGCTTAGTGATTGTGAGACACGTAGACAAATGGCAATCAGGGCTCTCTGCCATAGACCCATCTAATTTCCTTTAACCCTCCCTGTGGTGAGAATTGTTCTTTGACTCCTGGGGAAGGCATCTCCATCTTGTGGTGCACCTCCTTCATCCCTTCTAGTGTTTCAGGGGTCCCTGGTCCCCCACTAGCCAGGTACTGAAGCTCTGTGCCAGATGCCATCACGAGTGTGGAACAAGGTCCCCCACCACCACACCTAGGTATTGCTCACTGAGACCAGCAGTTTCCTGGTGAGGGTGGAATGGAGCGGATGCAAACACAATGTTTCCCAAGACCTCTCACTGTGGGGTCCTGCTTTTGTTGTTTTAATTGGTGCCCACTAAGGCCAGGAGCTCCACCAGATCAGGACTGGTAGCTTCAGCCACTCACTGCTGTGGCAGTCACCCTTCATAAACTCATTTGCTGGCCAAACTGGGCTTGTCCAGGTGGTTCTTTGGTCTATGGCCCCCTCTCAGTTGAGAGTTTATACAACATCCCCTAAACCTGCATTAAATCCAACCGGTCCAACAGGTTCACCTTCAGCCAGCATGTCTGCACGCGATTCTCCAGATGACTGCAGCCCATGCTCCACTGTGTTAATCTTCCTTGACTGGGGGATCCCTGCCACAGCACATGGCTTGCTGAGTAGACCGTGGGGAGTATTTCAGATCCATACTTAGACCCCCCAAAAGGAGTAGAGAATTCATACCACTGAGAAGGAGCTATGCTGAGAGATGACAACAATTGGCCCAAAAAAAAGAAAAGGAGGAGAATCAACTAAAGTGCTCAAGACAAAAAGAGGATGGTCAAAGCAAACTTGGGAAGAAATCTAGACAGTAAATCCATCAAGGAAAGGTCACATGACCACCAGGTGATTTGATCAGGTGGGAAAAACAAGTGCAGGAGCGTAGGGTACAGTGTTCCCGACAGAAGAATATTACTTTTGTACTTCTGAGAGCTAAGCACATGGGGATCCAGGGTGGTGCTGGGTTCTCTTTGCCTTTAAGTTCCTCTGCACTTCCTTCTTTGGGAGCTGGTCTGATTTTCTCTTTCACTCCATGAGAACTGGTTAGGATCTGGGGGCACTGCCCACAGTCTAGCAAAATGGGTCCAGGACTACCACGTCATTCCCATGACTTACACTGACTTACACACCCAGGAGTCACCTGGGGAGGCTTCCAAGAGCCTGAGGAGGTTCTCACAAGCTGGTTTAGAGCCACCATTCCCTCTGTCAATAGGGATATATAGTTATCTTTATGTGTTTGCTTTTACCTTTCATATAATCTGTTTCATTTGCCCAAATATCCTGATGGATTTATGGTTGCCTCCAGTCTTCCTGGAACCGAGGATGACAGGAAATTTAACTGGCTTTCCATCACAGGGAAAGGGATGGGACAGAAGGACAGATGTGGTCTGGAAGCACAGCCTAGAAACACTGGGGTCACCTGGGAGGTGTTGAGTCTCTGACACAACATCTTAGAGTAGATGGAAAGTGGGTGCACCACGAAGACTAGGAGGAAATGGCGTTGCCAAGCAGCGAGGCAAAGGCAGCCAAATGGTCTCTCATTGGGTCCCAGCTCCAAGGGAAGGATGCCCGCGGTTCCATTGTGTGGAGCTGATGAGCCAAGGTTGGGTGGAAGGTCCCAGCGCTTTCCAGGAGCTCTGCCAAGGAAGGGCAGGGTGCTGGGATGGCACATGGCCACAGGCCCAGCAGAGCTGCCCAGCAAGAAACCCGGACTTCTGCAGCGAGCCTCTCCCCTCTGTTCACCTGTTCTTTCACCCTGAGTCACACCTCCCCTCCTCCCTTCTCCTTGGAATGAAGGCTCCTACATTTGCATATTCATCAACTTAATTTCTATGCATAAGCAGAAATGCGTGGTGAACAAGTCATTCATAGAACCGAGTCTACTTCTTTCCAGAAAATTTAATCTCAATAATATATGATGAGTCTCAGGAGGCTGGCAAGGGAAGTGATGTGGGTGTCCCATGCCCCCTGCTCTCCCTATTTCCTGTCACCCATCTTGTTTCCCCCTCATCATGACTCGCACTCATCTGTTCCCTGTCCCTGGACTCTCGAACTCTCAAGCTTCCTTTTCTCCTCTTCTCATCTCTTCTGTTTGTTGTCTCCCTGTGTCTCCCTCTCTCCCTCTCCCGGAGGCTCTCACAGGACAGCCAAAGTCCGGGTGGGACAAGCAAGGAACCCACAGAGTCGGTGCCAGCGCCCTTCTGCCCAGCTCCCCAGGATCGCATACACAGCAGGGCCCAGGCCTCACTACCCCAGACAGGAGCCTCGGTGACCCACCCGCTGGCCTCTGTGTCCATGTTCTCTGCAGCCTGGATGCTGGGGCTCCCCTGCCTTATCTTCCAGGAGCTGCTTTGTCTCCACACCTCCCTACCATGTCCTGGGCAAATGACCTGCTCACCAGCGATTCAGATGAATGAAAATTGTCCTCAGAGGGTGGAGTTAAACCTCCAGTCTTGTGCTGGAGCTCCCATGAGCGTGGCTGCCACCCTGGCCGGGCTTTGGCCCACTCAGGCCCCAAGCAGCACTCAGGCGAGTTCTGAGGCGCACGTGTACCCACGCGGCTGGAGGGAGGGAGAACAGGTGAAAAAGAACAACAGGAAGCAGCTGGTTTTGCATCCATAGAAAGCCTTTCCCAGCTCTCACGGGACTATGTCCAGGCTGCAGCCCAGCTCCACCGCGCATGGCCCTGTCACAAAGCTTCACCATCTCGTCAGCACCCTCCTGGCTCCAGGCCCCAGGACAGGGCTGTGCCTGACTGTTCCCTACCCTCAGGGCCTCACTCTGCAGCGGGCATGCACACTGATGACAGTGTGTGTGTGTGTGAATGTGCATGTGCGTGTGTGCGTGTGTGTGTGTGTGTGTGTGTGTGTGTGTGTGTGTGTGCAAGCTCACACAGGACCACTTTGGTGTCCCCTGCCGTCCGCTCCCACTCCCACTGAGGCACAGAGGCCGGTGTGAGCCATGGACAGTGCGAGGGCGGCCTGTCACCCTTCCCTCCATGCCCTCATGTGCACGCATACCCCCCCCACCGCCACGCCTGCCGCTGCACTCACCCAGCTGCTGCACAGCCTTCTCCAGGCGGAACAGTCTGGCCATTACTGTCCCATCCCTGGTGTGCAGACCGCCCTGCAGCAGGTCCTGAGCAGCCTCCTTGGGGCGCAGCTCCAGGAAGAGGTTGGCGGCAAGGACCAGCACCAGCCCGAGGCAGAGGACCTGGTTTCTCCTGAGCATCCCGCTGGGCTCCTCCACAGTCTGCGCCCCACCGCTGAGCCAGATGCTCACCAAGAAGGCAGTCGTGGAGGCTGGCTTCTCCCTGTCACTGTGGGTGTGCCAGGGCAGCGCCAGGGAGGGGCGTGTCACCTGAGCACACCTGGCCTGCTGCAGGCCGCTCTCCCTCTCTCCCTCTCCCGGAGACTCTCACAGGACAGCCAAAGTCCGAGGGGGAGACAAGCAAGGAACCCACAGATTCGGTGCCAGCGCCCTTCTGCCCAGCTCCCCAGGGTCACACACACAGCAGGGCCCGGGCCTCACTACCCCAGATAGGAGCCTCGGTGACCCACCCGCTGGCCCCTGGGTCCATGTTCTCTGCAGCCTGGATGCTGGGGCTCCCCTGCCTTATCTTCCAGGAGCTACTTTGTCTCACACCTCCCTACCACGTCCTGGGCAAATGACCTGCTCACCAGCGATTCAGATGAAAGAAAATTGTCCTCAGAGGGTAGAGTTAAACCCCCAGTCTTGTGCTGGAGCTCCCATGAGCGTGGCTGCCACCCTGGCTGGGCCTTGGCCCACTCAGGCCCCAAGCAGCACTCAGGCGAGCTCTGAGGCGCACGTGTACCCACGTGGCTGGAGGGAGGGAGGACAGGTGAAAAAGAACAACAGGAAGCAGCTGGTTTTGCATCCATAGAAAGCCTTTCCCAGCTCTCCCCTGCAAATTTGAAATCAAAACATTCGTGGTTCTTTCCATTTTGGGGTGAGCTGGAGTAGAGGCACTGGGCTCTAGTGCAGACCACCGAAAGCCTGGGCATTGTGTGCAGAGGCAACAGGGAGATTCTGCAAAGTGGAGAGATAGGGGAAGACTGGCCAGAGGCCTTGGGACCCATGGGAACACAGCTGTGGCCTGATATTTTCAAAATTTTAAAATCATAGGTGAGCCTCAAAGGTAGAGGACAAAGGGAGAAAAGTCAGTGAACTTGAAGAGGGAGCAGTAAATATGTCCAGTCTGCCCAATGAAGAGATAAAAGGCTGAGAAATAACATCAGACCTCAGAAGCTCAGAAGTTCTAAGGAAAGATTTACTCTTCACATCATTGGAGCCTCAGCTGAGGAGACAAAAGTGTGGGGCTGAACAAGATTCTTAATAAAGGCTGAATTGGCAAGAGACGTAAACCTAAAGATTTGAGGAGAGGAGTGAACACTAACAGAGCAAACACAAGGAAACCCTTGTCCAGAGCATCACAATCATTCTGAACACCAAAGACAGAAAAATCCTTGAAAGTAGCGAGAGAGCAATGAAATAATCCCAGTGCAGACTCTCATCGGAAATCACAAAGCCAGAAAGAAGTACAGCAACATTTTTCACGTGTTGAAATAAACAGCTACCTCAGAATCCTACATCCAACAGAAATATCCTTCAGGAATGAGGGAAAGTCAAGACATTCATAAACAAGGAACCGCAGAGATTTGTTGCGATCAGGTTTATCTGGGAAAGGGGCCGAGACAGGGTCTTGCTTGTGACAATGTAGTTCAGGCTAGCCTTGAACTCACTATGTAGCCAAAGCTGGCCTTGAGCTCAAAGTCATCCTCCTGCCTCAGCCTCCTGAGTGCTGGGATTAGACGTGTACACCCATGCCCAGCCCACAGGCAACTTTATTTTAAAGGAAGACATAGAGAAATTTTCTAAATGAAGAAATGATAGAGGGAACCTAGGAAAATCAAGAAGTACAAACAACACCAAAAAGTAAAAATGGGAATAAATAGAAAAGAGTTTCCTTCCTCCTCCTGAGGTTGGTAAATTGTGTGACAGTGGAGTAAAACGTCAGAACATTGCCTGATGTGCCTCTCGGAGTGTGTGTAAGAGATTCAAGAGGGCTACATACAGGAAAAGCAAAGGGATTTAAAATAAGCTAGGCTCCCACTTGTTGCGAGAACTGGCAAGTGGTGTAAGGAGGAGCCCACAACTGCGTGAATCCAGAGGTGACAAAACATGCAGATCAGGTTCATGTCTGGCTGAGTCAGGAGCGCCGCACCCATCTCTCCTGAGAAAACTCCGAGGCCTATTAGGGCTGGAATAATCCAGGCCCTCAGGTGTGTGGAGATCTGACCTTAGACAGGTAAACTGTTCCTCTCAAAAACCTCTAAAGTCCTCACTCCAGTCGCCTCAGCCCCCAAAATATACAATTCAAAAACATGTGGCCAATAACGATGTGCCAAATATCCTGACTCCACCCTGGCTCCACCCCCTGCCTTACCCTATATAAGTCTGTACATTTCCTCAGTAAATGGAAACATTCCAGAAACCACCCCTGAGTCTGCGTGGTGATTCCGCGCCTTGCCCTCCCAGTCCAGCTTCCTGAACCTTGTTCCGCTAGTGGGCTCGCAGACAAAAACAACACGTGCGCACACAGTGCGAGGTCAGTCTCTGGTTGTGTGCTTTTGCACTCCTCATAGTCACTTTTCTCCTTGCTGTTACAAAACACCGGACACCCAAGGCTTAAGGATAAGAGGTTTATTTCGTTCACATTTCCGGCCACAGTTGGCTGGCTCCAGGGAGGGCATGGCAGAGGGGCACAGCAGAGAGCCGCTGGCGCACAGGGGTCAGAAAGCAGTCAAGAGAGGACAGGAGGGCAGATAAACCCTTCCAGGCCACACCCCAGGCACCCCAGGCCCCTCCTCAGGGAACCTAGGCCACACCCCCAGACCACGCCCCAGGGGAGCCCCTCCCAACTCCACTGTGGAGAAATCCACTGATTCCCACCCTCTGTGACCCAGGCACTTACGAAGAGCCCCAGCTATGAATCCATGAGGTTTGGGGGGGAACATCTAGATACAAAATATGATAGTACTATTTTCTGTAAAACCGTACTTATATCAAAATTATATTTTTAAAGCATGATATTGTCCTACACAAACTGACTGCTTATCTTACAAATGCTTCATTAAAAACATTCAAGAAGCTAAGCATGGCGCTGCACACCTATAATCCTACAATTTGGGAGGCCAAGGCAGGAGCACTGTGAGTTCGAGGTCAACCTGGACTATACAGGGAGACTTTGTCTCAAAAAAAAATGTTTTTACACTAAAAATTAAAATGCACAATAAATGGCTGCCTCTGGAAGTGGTGGAGATCAAAGGACTGAGGGACAGAGGTGGGACGGAGACTAGCTTTTTTCTCTGTAGGTTTTTAAATACTTTTAAATTCCGTATCATGTTACATGAATTATCTATCAAAAACTAATTAACTTGATACAAATTGCACCGTATTCTGTGTCACCTTAGTGCGGTCTGGAATAAGACAGGAGAGACTGGCAAGTCAGAGACTGCCAAGGACTCCTCTCTGTGGCCCTTGCACCTGTCCTTCTTGTTCATCCCAGAAGTGGGGTGGGAGTCTCCTGGAAACACCAGGCATCTGCTCAGGAATCAGGGCTGTGGTCCTCCAAGGGGCATCACAGAAATCACCTGAATAGCTTGGCAAAAATGCAGATTTCCAGGTCCTTAAAGATTTTAATTCTGTCCATCAGTCTGAGTGTTTTACTTCGTGTGACTCACCTCACATTTCTGCCCCAGGGGCTCCTGAATTTAAGAGAAGCAGGGAAGTGCCCTGACTTACACTGATCACCGCGCCCACACCATCGGGACCCCGCCCTGCCGGCTGTGACCAGAGACAGAAGACCGGACGAGGGAGCGAGCCCAGAAGGTGGAGGCGGAGGCGTGGTCTGCGCTGCGGCTAAGATTCAGCGGAAAAGGATTCAGCGGAAAAGCTGGCAAAGTTTCCTTTTCGCAAAGAAATGAAAATGTCGCCTTTAGAATAAAGACCGACAAGGTTAAATGTCCTCATCCGTGGTCCTGGATGAGGAAATTGAGGGCGTTTCACCCTCGCTCTGTGTGTTTAGTTATAAATATCTCACGAGCGTGGAGGAGCCCCACGCCCTCTGTGCTTTATTTTCTCCAGACCTGCTGGACGTGGCCTGTACACCGGTGGAGACTGGTCAGTGTCCATCCAAGCAGCTGAACTAACCACGGTATTTGAACTAAGAAAGAGCAAAGCGTGACCTGGAGAGTGAACTTCTGTGTTTCTAAAGCATTCGTGTATTCACCCGACCATACTGGAACCTGGCATAAATACGTACTTGTGCCTAAAACTGCACTCGTTCACAGTGTATTTCCTGCAGTAAAGAAAAAGAAAAAGCCTTCTTTTGTGCCAAGTTTGAACACTGAGGAAATCACCTTCAGGGAATGAAGCTCTGTAAAGCGCTCCCTTACGTCTAATTGTCAGGGAACTCCTTTTCTCCAGGGACTTTCCCACTCCTGACTAATTTCTGTAACTATGGTTCAGGATTTGTTCCTATGTAAAGACATCACCAGAAAGTGTTAGATTGTGATAGACAACTGCTGCCTCTTTGACAAATGCTGGATAGTAGCAGTTTATATATGAAATCAGCAGGCTATTACTTGTGGAATCATTGAAATTAATTTGTAGTTCAGACTCCACTACCCAACTTGGAGCCACAAAGAGTAATTTACTTACTGTAGTATAACTGCATTCAGAGTACGTTTATCATCACTTCCATGCCTTTTTTTTATTTCCTATATCTTTTTAACCAAATCTAGAAATGTGTTCATCAGTCTCTCATTCTTAAGGTCTGGGAGTTAGATTTTGTGAATTAGGACTATTAGTTTTTAATCTTATAGAAAATATCATCTTATCTAAATATTAAAACAGAAACATTAAACTTGCTGGAAGGTAAGTTAGGCAGAACCCTGGAAGACATTGGTATGGGAAAGGACTTTATGAATAGGTCCTCAGTGGCACGGGAACTGGCAGATAGAATCAACAACTGGGATCTCATCTTACTAAAAAGCTTCTGTACTTCAAAAGAAACCATCAGCAGAACTAAGAGACAATCTACAATGTGGGAAAAAATTTTTACCAGCTGTTCCTCAGACAAAGGACTATTATCAAGGATATATAAAGAACTCAAAACAATCAGCCCCTCCAAATATAAAGTCCCAATT